AAAATGATGAAGAAGAGACTGAAGCATAAAGGTCGTTCTTTGCACTTTTCATACTTGGAACTGCCTGTCCCTAGTGAGTCCGAGTAATTTATGGGAAATTAATTTATATGTACGAAATGTGGCCCATAAAGTGATGATCCTGAACTTTTATGTCCTCCATCTGATTTCAATCAGGAATCTTTACTGTGCATCACTCTCCATCTGTCTCCCTTTAATGTCTTGTCATGACTTTTATAAAGATGTAAGGGTATCCAAGCACATCAGCTGGCAGCTCAGACAATATTATTTTTCTTGATTCACAAAGGAGAGAAATCAGAAAACTATGACATAAAATCATTTTAACTTGTAGCATATTTTACTCTTCTGTTGGTATCATTTTGTTTCAATTACATTTGAATCAGAGCACACTTGAAACTCATTGGCTCACCTGCGAGGAATGTGTAAGAAGCCAAAAACAATAAATCCCTCCAAATTGCAGTAGCTGAATGTAAAAAAACTCACTTTTAATCAAATTAATTCAGTGATGAAAACAATAATATTAATGTATTTTGGCTGTGGAAGAAGACAAAGACAAGGTTTGTGTCCAAAGAACTATTTTTATGTCTTCATGATGTAAAGCACTGTGAATCGCTGAAATACACAAATAAACTTTATTGAAAAATTTTGGCTTTTGGAAGAGAAAGAGGCCCACAGCATGACAGATCCTCCACTACACTTAACCAAATTCATCTTTTGTTTCATACTAGATCCACTTGGACTGATTTTTGCTGAAATCTTAATCGTATTCTCAATGATTACAACGCAATCCAGTTAAAATCTCAGCAGCATTCATCAAGCTTCACACATGGGGCATTTATTAAGGTAGCAAAGAAAAAAGGCCTTTCTTGCACCGTCTCCCCGACAACAGGTTGACAGGTAGACAGCATTCACTTGGTTGTGGTTACCAAGAGATTTTGTGGACACTTGGTAACCACTTTGAACTATTTGCTACATTTCTCACTCAGCTCTGGAGTTACTTGAGAAACTTTTTTTCCCCAGGTCTCTTTCATCAAAGTTTTACTCCTGAAAAACAAGAGCAATTATAACTTATAAAACTAGAACTTACGAGAACTATAACTTAAAAGTATAAAGTTTAAGATGTTTCAGCATTTACTTCATAAAAAGTGGTAGGGACACATATGATTCTTTCCAAACACCAACTTTTTTTTTTTTTTTAACAGGAATTATTTCTTTACGTGAGATTCTGTCATTGGGTTAAATGTTTATTGTAATGGTTTTTGCATAGTTTTGTGGGGTAAGTGGGGAAAGAGCTGCATTACCAACTTTGTACAATTTTATATACAACAAAATTTCTTTCATTCCCAAATAAGAACAGATTCAAAAGGAAACGCAGTTACATAGAGCTCAGTTCACTGGTTGGTTTGATCACATCAGGCTAAAGCTCTGTGAAAGAGACGCTAAGCGCTTAAGGATTTGGCCTGACCCCGTTTTAAGTCTCAGATGAGTTATTGCCAAAAACTGTAATATTGCTCAGATAAACCAAAGTGCAAAATGAAAACTTGTTAGCTTTCAGCATGAATCGAAATTAATACTTTAATATAGCATTGTGCCCTTAGGCTTTACCCAGAGCTGGATATAAATAAATGAGACAACTCTTAGCTTCAATCTGTGAGCAACTATTGTGGAGTTTTGTGTTTGTGTTCAATGAAGGAAACAAACAAGCAGTGTTCCTTTAGATCTAACTAATCCCAGCTTTACATAAATTACAAAAGAAAGGAAATAGCAGACAATTGAAATGGGTAGAATCTGTGGAGAGAGAAAGAGGGGCAGATAAAAAGGTAAGTACAGAGGTTGGTGTGGGATGATGCAGAAAACTGGATACAGATACACATCTCTATTGAAAAGCAACCAGCAATTATAAACTGGGTAACAGCGACTCCACTTCCTCAAATTGCAGACGGCAGCAAAGATCATCAATAAATTGGAGCCAAGAGTTTGCAATTTCATGACAAAATTAGTTGCTTTCCACTTCATCAAGAAATACAAGTTCTTCAGCCTCACATCCTGTTTCACCTACTCCCAGGGCTAATTGGGTTCCCCCCCTGGTCTAACCTGACAAAATGTTGTGAAGGTAAATACCAAGCCCAGAGTATCATGTTAGGATATAATTTGATTTCACATAGGATCATTGCCTATTCAAAAACAGATAGAAGAAAATAAATGCACACAGGGACTCTCATTTTAAAGTTTTATCTGCTAAAAATAAATAAATAAAATAAAATTCAAAGCTCAGCTCCTGAATCAGGAAGCATGTCAGTGTGTCTGATGACTTTTGAGTGTAATTAAAAAGGGAGGCACAGAAAAGGAAGGTGAGACTATGTTAGATTTTAGCAAACAGACGTATATGCTTGAGATTGCAAAACTATTTACTCTCTCAGGCTATTTGCTCTCTCAATATTTCAGTTTGCTCTTTTTAAACAGTGTTTCCTGCAAATAGATTTGTGTCTTAGGAGACTCTTATTTTTGTTTCTAGTTATAATATGTTTGTGCACTTCCAGAATATTCATATCCTACATTTTAGATGTTTCAGATTTTAGGGGAACTCTGAGTGAACCTCGCCTGTACAGAGATGACGAACCGCTGCAGTAGAAGCATGACTCAGTCTAACTCTTTTGTTGAAAATTTATGCATTAGAGTTAATGTACCGACTCCAGTAAAAAAAAAAAAAAAAAAAAAAAAAAAAAACATGACTGTTTTCTCCTACGCAGGACTCAAGTTAGTCTGACCAGATGTCTGCCTACAGCTTTCAAACATTGCTTTATCTAAATATGTTTTTTTTTCCTCATTTTTGTATCCTTAGGCCGTTTTAAGATGATGAATGTTTTTGACAAGCCAACATATAATGTAAGCCTGTCTCTTTGGTCACGTCTCCATCAAATTTAAGTTTTTCTTATTTGAGTGTAAACCAAATAAAGTAGCGACCTAATAGTAACATAACCACATTTTCTAAAGATCCAGATGTTTTAAGATTGCTATAATTGGACAACTGGGAACTTAAGACAGATTCTCAAAGAGAATCTGAAAAGCACAGTGATACTGCAAAACACCCAAGAGCTCCATCCCAGAATCGGCATGCCACAGTTAGCATGTTCAACTTTGACGTTTTATGACATGACAATTATGACAAGGCTAGACAAGAATGCCAAAATGTGAAAGCTTTGAAAAAGAAAAAGGTGTCCTCTCTAGATGAATGTGGCAGCAAAATTTGTGTCTGAACCAGCCACAAGATTTCTTGAAAAATGTTCTATGAACAGATTGCATACAACAAAGTGAAGATATTTAGTAAAGCGACACAGCACCATGTTAGGAAGAAAACCCAGTAGAGCATTTTGACACAAACACCACAAAGTGTCGAACACAGTGGCAGTGGGTCGATGAGTTGGGCTTTCTTTGGAAACACGAACAGGCCATCTTGTAGCTGCTAAAAATGCCACAAAATTAGAAAAGCAAAGCATTGCTTTTATGCCATAAATAGTAAGTTATTATATTTCCAAGAGTGATGAATTTCTAATAACAGAATTGCCAGAGATGTGAAGAGCTTTGCTGAAGTAGCAAACATGTTAAAGCATACAAAGGGTGTCGACATTTTGATTACAAATTAGGTGTTTGTCAAAAATCTTACTTGTTGAACTATTAAGTATTGGCGCAATAATAGTACACGTTCTCCTGTTTATGGAATCCTATGTCCAACTGAGAAAAAAATAGATCTGCTGCTGGTGGTTGGAAGATCTGGCAGCCTCACTTCTGTCCTACTGTTCCAGGGCAACTCTGGCTTTCCACAATCAGCATGCGAATGTGTGCATGAATCGATAAATACCTTACTGCAGAATAAAGCGCAAGATAAAGTGCTGTACAAACACAGGACATTTGCCATTTACCATTTTGGGTGTTGAGTAGAAAATACGATGCTTTGCTTCAGACCAGTTACAGTAGCAGTGTGCTTGAGGTACTTAACATTTTTTAATCACACAATTTACTTTAAATTTGTGCTACCTTCGGACTGACGTTCTGACATTTTACATTTGTAAAAAACAACCAGCTCTATTGTTCTTTACTATCAATAGTTTCAATTGTTCTTTTACTCTATTCTTCGTTGACGGAAGGTATGTTCAGCTAACACATTCTGCAGACCAAATCACTGTGCTACATCAAGACAGTAAGAAATATTTAATTTGATTTATTTCAATGAGAGAAATTACACATCAAGATAAACCTAACTAATAGTTTTGCATAACATGTAATGTCGGATGACCTATTTCAATTTTATGAATGTCACAGTGGTATGAATGCTACATTTAAAATTGAAAATAAAAGAGAAGAAAATTAATTTAGAAGCTGAACAAACTGAAACATCAAAAACACAATCTGTAACTGGAAAACTGTTATTCATTATAAGTACATGAGGTATAACTATATGAATCTCATATAAATAGTTGTGCGCACCTGACAGAGGTTAGTCCACAAAATGTTAGCCGTACAGAAATTTGAAGTGAGTAAGACAGGAATAGAGGAGTTTTCATCAAAACAGGAAAAGTCTCAAATGGCTATTTCATCTCCCAGGCAGTCAGGAGCTCCCTGTTTGTTGAGAGCATTGAGCAGTCTCAACGTCTCCCCATCTGTTCCCCAGCCAAAGATCTCCATCTCCTCATCCTCATCCTCATCGCCCTCCCCCTCGTCTTCCCTGTCATCGCTGTCGTCTGAGTTCGACTCGTACTCTGAAGCGATACCTGACTCGCGAAACCTGGTGAACTCCAGGCAGTCCAAAGATTTCACTTCTCTGGATAAGATGCTCGCTGGAGTGTTAGGCACATCTCGACCTTGAGTCACTGGCTTGTTAGGCTTGAGAGACGGGGGAGGCGAAGGGAGTCGAGGAGGTGGAGGCCCCGGCGGTCCCGGGAGGAAACGGAAACACTCCAGTTTGAGTAGACATTGGTCCCTACCTAGTGGGCTTCCCAGAGTCCCGTTGGTAGAGGAAAAGGCGTTGCTGGTTCCGTCACCAGTGCCGAGTGCAGAGAGGTTGATGTCGGACACCTCGGATTTGGGTGTGGTAGCGTCGCAGATCACTGGAGGTACCGTGGAGCGGAAGGTGATCTCCAACAAACTGTCCTGAGAGCCCACTGGAGAAAAGAGGTAAGTGGAGAAGATGGATATTAGGTGATCAAGTAATGACTTGATTGCTTGATTCACGTTGTTCTCCCATCAGTCATCTTCTCAAAAGACAACTGTATGTCATAAAGAAAAAAATGAATTGCTGGAAACAGAGCGATATAAATTCTAACAACATAAATCAGAGGAGTCTCTTACACAGCAAGAAAGGTCAGTTGTGGCCTTCAGTATTTCATCATCATCATGTGGCGCTCTGAAGTATTTTGTGTCACTGTTTAGAAGCACACAGTACTGACATGAAGCAGAAAGTGGCTCTAAGGAAATTGTCCATGTTTTCAGGTTCAAATTTAAAGTTCAATCATACATTAGAACAGTGCTTACAAAGTTTCCAACTCTTGTTTCTTAACCAAAACTGAGATTGGCTTGCTAAATTATATATAGTCTGTGTCTCACAAGAGGATTCACTTGTCTGCCTACATAATACAAACAGTTGAGAAGCACCCCATTCTTTATCCATGGGGTTTCTTATGATATCAGGCCAAATCATTTTAAGCTTTAACTGCTTGAAATCCTATGAGAAGGCTTTCCACAATGGTTAGTAGTATGTTGTAATGAGATTTTTTTTTCTTGCCATTCTTTCAGATGTATATTTGTGAGGTCAGGCACTGATGTTTGAGTAGAAAACCTGGCTCTCACACCAAACTTTGTAGTTGAGAGAATGTGATTAGGAAAGTATTATTCTCCAGTTAAAGTCAGAAACCCAGATTTGTCCATGTAACTGTATCATGTATCTACATGATCCTAGACTTATGTAGACTCTAGGGTCATTTCAACCAACATTTTGTAGTATAATTTGTGAATTAAACATTGGCGGCAGCGCCTCAATTATGGAAACCCATTTCACCGAGACCTCTATGCAGTACTCTTGAGCAAATCAGAAGGTTATGTACAGTTTGGAGATCTCTAGTTATTGTTGCGTTAGTGACCTCTGTTCACTCTGTGGCTAGGCTTCTACTGGAGCTGCTCTGTGTTTTTCAAGGCCTTTTGCTTTGAAAAACACAAAACACAGGGTTGCTGCCATTCCCAGTCACCTCCACTGTGTTACAATGCCACATATTTGACATAAGTGGACTTAATGTTGAGCTGGCATAATATCACAGCATTCAGATTGAAATTACTGAGCTCCTGAGTGTCCAATTCTTTTACAAGTTTGTAGAGGCAGTTTGCATGTCTATGTACTGGATTTAATACATGTAACCATGGCAGTAATTGAAGCATATGCCACAAAACTGAAAAACAACTCTTTAAAAGATGGTCTAAATCTTTTAAATGCTTCAAGTTCTGATTTCTGTTAAAGAGAGCGCCATTTAAAAGTAAATGATGTTACCTGATTGTACACAGTTTGAATAGACCTCTCATCTTGGTCAAGCTGCCCTTCGATTTCAGTAAAATGATTAATAATGTTGATTTAGATTAGTGCAATTTCAGCTCGTCACTGTCAATACACCAAAAGTAAAATGGGTTGCACTATCACGGCAAGATATGCCCATCTTTAATTTAAATGGTTAACTTGCATTAGCTGTACTAGATCTAAAAACGTTCCATGTACAGGATTGGACTTTGAGAGCTCTTGAGTAGTAAATGTGGAAGATTAGTTTCTAGCACCTATCTCTTCCATTTTTTGTATCAGAAAAAAAAAAAAAAAAAAATTAAGCATGTCTGCAGAAAGTTTTCAAGTGTGGACAGAGAAGCATATTAAAAAGTCCAACTTGCCTAGGGAGTAATAAGCAAAGCTTCACGTTTGAAATATTTGCTGAAAAGATTAAAGATTGTTTCCTGCAGAGTGACATTTGGAGGGCAGACTGGGCTGTGGTGTTGCTGAGAAGATTGTCTGTCTGAATAGTCAAAGAAGAGGCTTTAAAATGCACAAAGCTGCGAAGGGAGGCATTGGAGAGGACAGAGGGGGGTCTGCGACAGCTGAACATCAGTAGGACGTGTGTTGTGTCTGAAACAAAATTAGAAAGTTAAGAGTCCAATAGTAAAACATACTCAACTATCTTACCATGAATAGCAGCAGCTTCACAAAGGAAGAGAGTTTGAGTACTGGCATCTTTCTGAGCACAAACAGAAAGATGACTAAATACGTATTCACTCGTGGTTTTTTAATCCTACATTTAATGCGCTTGATTTTTAGTAGAATTTCTACAACTGTGTCTGCAGGCCAACTTTATATTGTGACTTGGTCCAAAGCTAATCTCTACTCTAAGCCCTTTATGCACTCTGCAACTGGGCTGCGGAATATGGACAATGCCTAAAGGTTTTGTTGTTATTTGTTTGGGGTCTTTTGGAACATTTCTCTCTAGCATGTTTCATGAATCTTCAGTTTTGACTGAGCAGAATAACCTTAGATAAAAGACTCATCTTGTGAAAGCATCATTCAAATGTATTACAGTACGGCAGGGTTAATGGAGACAAACCAAATGACTGCGATTTTTGAATGAACCGAAAGAAAAGAGAACCTAATTTCCGTGCCCACGATTGTGCAGATACTTATACTAATCGCAATAAATTTGAATATCCTTTTGTTTTCATTAGTGAAGATTTATGCTTGACTGCTGTCAATAAACATGCATAAATATGACAGTTATAAAGTTTTTCAATATTGTAACATTGATATTTTAGCTAAAGGCTTACCAGTGTGTTTTCTCTCTTGTTGATGTTGCAGCTACTGGCTGTCTTTTGAAAAATAGGATTCATGGAAAATCCGTATCTACTCTAGTATCTTGAAGGACTAATGACAACATAATGTAAAATTTGCCAGCTGAATCCGCCCAGTAGGATCGGCTTGAGGTTTCTGGTGACATTCACACGCAGCCCGGATTAATGTGGCCGCATTGTCTGCACGTGGTGGCAGAGACAATAACTCTACCAGCCCGAGGGGCTACTAAAAGAAGTTTATATCTCTGTGTGTAAGGGAAACTTAGAGATTCAGGAGGATTCGTCGTAGGGAGAAACATGTGACCTAGGGACAGACTGAGGAAGAGGTCAGACTGGGAAGAAGTAGCTGGATGTAGGGAGGAGGGTAGCTTACATGTCAAGGTGGGTTTCTATCCTGCTTAACATACATTTGATGACCATGCCTGACTTATCAACAACTAACTTATCAACTCTAATCCACTGTAAGCGCATAAGATCAGACATAAATAATGAGATATTAACTTACTGGAATTTGGTCCAACCATCTTGGATTCTAGCTCCTGGATTTGTTTAACCAGCAGGGAGATGTGCTGCAGCAGGTCTTTGTTCTGGAGCAGCAGCTGATGGACTCGAGCCTGGGCCTCCAGCCGAGCTGTGGCCTCTGCGCTCAGCTGGTCCTTCAGGAGATGGACCTTCATTGATGCATGGAAGGGAGTGAGATTGGGGGACAGGTAGTAGAAATGAAACAGAGAGAGAAAATGGGTTGATCAGACAAGTGTTGTTACAGAAATCCGTTTGACATAGCCAGGACATAAACTACTAAATGTGAAGTCCAGCGCCACACCAAGCCTAGGACTCTGCTGAGGACTTAGCTTTAAAAACTTGGCTGAGTCTGATTAACGGGAGAGAATGATTGATCCTCTGCAGTATTTAAACTGCACTGAATTTAATCAAAGCAGTTTGGAGCTAATGTCACAAAACCATCTGAGTTCTCTCGCAGCCAGAATCGAAGAGATCAATCGGTGATAATCCAGTGGGGACTACAGAGGTAGAAGAAGAGGACAATACCTGGAGTGGAAGAAGTTCTACATTTTAGCCCACTTAGAAGAGGGCTAAAATTACTGAGAAAAACAAAAAGAACATACTAAGCTTTTGTTAGGGGATCATGCCAGGTAAAACACATTTATCTGTGCTACCCTCAAAAATGTACATAGTATTACCAGAGCAGGGGTGTCACTGTCTATCTTAAAAAGTCTTGAACACCCGGCTCTTAAGAGTGCCTCTCCTCATTGTGCACTTTTCTTTATGTCTGCACTCTACAGTACTTTTACGATGGGAGAACCTGACCGGTGGTCTACCTTCTAAGTAGTTGATCGTTAACACTGATTTAATTAAGTTTTTACATCCTTATTTGGCATTTGCTTTGGATAGAAAAGCATCAGACAAATGCATAAATATTACAAGCAAATGTGTGGAGTTTGCCTAACAGTTTTGTGACTTAGGGTTTTAGGTGGTAAACATTCCTGGTTGCATATAACAAATGATGAAAATGTGGAGAAGCACATCCATCCATTGTAAAGGGTAGTCCAAACTGTGAGCCTGCTTTTCACCCAGAAGCCCTGGAAATTTTGCAAAAGGCCAGAAGATCATAATAGAAATAGAAATAAAACTGTGGCATAAAAATATAACCCACAGACATAAAACCTGTGGTTTGAGGAGAGCAGAATGAAGTGATCCCTTTCGCTCCATGCCAAACTTATAAAACGGTACATGAGCAGAATAAACGGGTAAGGGGCTTACACAAACTGTAACAGCAGGGCAGCTAATAAGTGTGTTGTGGCTTTGTGAAAAAAAAAAAAAAACATTTTTCCCCAAATAATATGACTGTTTTCTGCACTGTATTAATGCGTTTAAATTAAAGGTTAGTTATTTTGCATTTTGGAGAGCTATATTATTTCAGTGCAGTTTGCATCTTTTATTTGGACAGTTTTGGGCATGTGAACTAAATATTTTATTGGAGTATTAATTTGAAACTGAATATTTTAAAAGGCTCATCTCTATGTGTAGAATATAATATCTTATATCAGCTATACACTTGTTATTGCTAGTGCAGATACAGACTTACTAATGATGTAGAGTGAAGTCAAAAATGATATTGCAGTAACTGATTAGGAGATGTAAACAGCTTAATTATGTTCTCTTTAACATCCTGTTATTATCTATAAAAAATATGCAGTGAGTATTGAATTTCCTCTCAAATGCTCAAAGGTCTAAAATGTTGAACGACTGCAGAGGATTTGAAGGAGATTCTCGTAATGTGAAAATCGGGGAGACAAGATGCCAGATGCAAAAAAGACAAGTGACACATACAGCAGCCAACCCACTGCTTGATGCAACGTGATGTGCACACAACTAATCTTGACTGTTAGGTACATTTTTGAACTCTTTTTGATTAGATTAAAACTAACTTCAGCATTCAAATAAAAAATGTAATAGACTGTCCAAAGATGTAAGATCTTTGTGCTGAAATTATTGTGCCACTATAAAATGTTCAAAGAGCACTCATGGTGCTCGAGTGACAGCTCTGATCCTCATGTAACCTTAATGTCATAGTCTGCTGTGGTTTGCCAGATTAAAGCAGACTCCATTTCAATTTAGGTATGAAAGGCTACACAATGAATCATTTATTTAAAAACTGAGGCAGGGGAGACGGACACCCTTCAGTTGTTGCACACAAAATTACAAATACACACTCGTATTTGGTTCCTGCGTGAGCAGCGACTACCTTGTTTTCACAAATGTTTGCAGCACCACCTCACATTCTAACTAGACACCTTTGCAGTCATGTAACTGCTTTCAAAAAGTTCAAAGGAGAAAATCTCAAAAGTCTGTAATCTGAGAGAAGTTTAAAAGAGGCTCAGCATTCAAGAAGGCCACTTATTAATGATTTTCTGACAGAAGAGGCGGCGTACTTCTCAATGATTTGATTTGGATTAACCTTGGAGCTTGGTCACGGCCCAGCAAAGCTTCAAACACTAGTAGACTAGGATGCAATGAGTAAATGAGGCAAAAATAGGGGAAATATTTCCAGAGATCCATGTCACGAAGAAAAAACATCTAATTTTAGGCTGTAAAAGTCAGGAAGGGCTCATTACTTTTAATATTACCTTGTTTCCTGATTTTCTAATAGATTCTTGTCAGTAAGACATTTTATGTGCTGCTTTGAATGTAAAAATGACTAAATCATAACTAAGCCTGGCTGAAGAGAAACCCACCAATACTTATGTGAAGAGCAGACAGGTGCGGCAAATCAAGGCTTCTCATGTAGAGATACAAGTCATTGAAAAGCATAATGATTCCCTGTTTTTTTCCTCATTTCAGCACAAAGTGGTAACATGCAGCTGGTTACCGTGGCAGCACGAAGGCTCTTTGCTCCTGACGTCAAGGGTAACAAATATCAAATAAGAAGACAGCAAAAAAAAAAAAATCAACTACACAACAAAGTATTTGAAAATGGAACAATACACCAAGGACAGCCCAATATTCTGAAATGCTGCTGTGCTCTGAAACGTGGAGGATGGGCTTAAGAATTTGGCTTGTTCTGAGAAACACCGAAATAGCTGTAAAATGATCATGAAAATAATTTTTGATTCATTCAATCACTTGGTGCGCTGGCTGTTTACTGAATAACCTGCCACATTTTAAGTACACCTGCTACCAGGTTGGACACTTTTAAAATCAGACTTACCTCATAATTTGATGTGGCATAAATTTAATATTCCATCAAAGCCATTTCTAAGAAATCTTGTTCCGTAGACATCAAGGAGTTACTGCATATCTGGTGCAGACTTTGGAGGACATTGCAGCACTATGAATAAGTTGTAATGCTTTGGAGCATAGGTGCATTTATCCTGTCACAGAAATAGCCATCATAAGATGGATAAATAAATTATGGGCATAATCAGCCACATTATGCCCATTTCTCTTCTTCTCCATTCTGATACTTGTTTTAACTTCTGAAAGTCATGTTTGCCACATCTCAAAAAATATATTGTTGAGAATAAATAGTTCTGTTTTTTCCTCTGTCTCTTAGCTATTTGTATGCTTGTATATATACATACATACATGCACTCACATAGAGCATGCACGTGCAAAGCTAAGGTTAAAGGATACATCCTCAAAAATAGGGTTAAAGTAAATGACACATTAGGGAGCGCCCTCTTAGGGACGTAGCTTAGATAGGAGCTAACAAAGAGAAGTACAAACTGCTGCTTGATGCTGTTTTGCTCTGTTAACCCATCAGGATTAGCATGAACAAATGGACCAGCTGTATTTTAGTCTTAATTAATGGAATTCATGAATTCAACTCACTGACTCTTCTTCATCCTCATACATCAAGAACCTAATGTAAAAAAAGGATAATTCCACAATATCAATGTTTAACTGCCAAGTGATTGTTAACACAAATGGAGAAAAGACTAACCAATTTAATATAGAGACTGGTGTATAAACATTCTATGATCAATATTATGAAGACTTTAGTCTGTACACACACAGATACTTTGATGATATCCCATTGTTACACAGGCTTTATTTTCCCAGTTAACTCGCCTACTGCAGCTTCAACGCTTCTGGAAAAGCTGTCCACAAGGTTTACGAGTGTGTTTACGTGAAATTTGACCATTCTTTCAGGGGGGAATTTATGACTTCAGGCAACGATGATGGATGAGAATGTCTGGCTCACAGTTTTGGCTCCAATTCATCACATATGTTCTCTACTGAGTTGTGGTTGAGGGCTCTGTGCAGACTATTCATGCTATTCCACACCAAGCTCATCCTTATGGACATTTCTTTATGCACTTATGTGGAGTCATGTTGGTACTGTCCCTCAACTGTAAAATGAAATTTCCAAAAATATTGTAACAATTACGCCATCTGTGTGCAATTAATCTAGACATTGTGTTTCACTGTGAATTGAGCTAATGGTATAAATTAACTTTTCAATAACATTCTGATTCATTGAGTAAGTCTGTATGGCCCAGCACTGAGAGTTTCTTTCACTGGGATTGAGCCCCAGAGGACCAATCTCAACAGTATGTTTCCCTCTCTGGCACTTGGCACAATTCAGTCAGACAGGAACTGTTTTCCTGGCAACTGTCAAACCCTGACTGATTCATCCGAATGATTAACAGAAAGAGAAACATGATTGTTCACTCCAGAGAACACTGTTCTGCTTTAGAGTCAAGTGGGGATGTGCTTTACACTGATCTGTCCAATGCTTTTCATTAAACTTGGTGAGCTACGATTTGGGGGTCCAGCTGCTCAACCATGAAAAGCCCAGTCCTTGAAGCTGTTGGCATCACAATACACACACAAATGTGTTCAAACCCTCTTTAAGATATTGAAGTAAACGCAGAAATGATTTTTTTTAAAACTTAAGCACTTTAGTAATACATCTTAATAGTATTAACCCATTTACGAAGACAATATAGAGGAAGGTGTAAAACATATGCAGCTCTTGTGAGTAATGGTATTTCTTCTTTTTTTTTTTTTTTTTTTTTTTTTACCAAAAAAAATTTTTTCCACAAATTTTTTTTTTTTGGGTTCCTTTAATAATTTTTTTCCCACTTTCCTTTTTCCTTTTT